ATTAGTAAAGGGGGAGTCAAAAATTATACACAGGGAAGGGGAGTGGAGGGTTGGGGGAAGAGGTAACAGAGGATAAAGAGGTACAAACTTCCAGTTATAAATAAACTAAGTCACTGGGATGAAAAATACAAGATAAGGGATATAGTCAATAATATTGTACTACACTTACCATGGTCAGCATTTCTTAGGGTATATAATTGTTGAATCATTGTGTTGTACACCTGAAACTAATTTAATATTTTATGTCAACTATTCTTCAATTAAAAATTTTAAAAGTGAAAAATAAAAAAGTGGGGCACCTGGGTGGCTCAGTCAGTTAAGCAACTGCCTTCGGCTCAGGTCATGATCCCAGGGTCCTGGGATCGAGCCCCGCATCGGGCTCCCTGCTCATCGGGGAGCCTGCTTCTCCCTCTCCCACTCCCCCTACTTGTGTTCCCTCTCTCGCCGTCTCTCTCTCTCTCTCTGTCAATTAAATAAATAAAATCTTCAAAAAAAAGAAAAAGAAAAAAGTTACATGCAGATTTTCGATGGCATGGGAGTCGGTACCCCCAACCCTTGTGTTGTTCAAGGGTCAACTGTAGAGTCATCATGCTGTACATTAGATCTCTAGACTTATTCATTCTACATAACTGCTAATTTGTATTATTTGACCAACACCTCCCTAACCCTCCTCCATCTCCCACCCCTATCAGACCCTGGTAACCACCATTCTACTCAGCTTTTAGGAGTTCAATCTTTTTTTAGATTCCACACATAAGTGAGATCATACAGCATTTGTCTTTCTCTGTCCGGCTTATTTCACTTAGCATAATGTCCTCCAGGTTTATCTTGATAGGACCTTATTCTCTGCCCATACACCCCTCTCTAGCCTGTTACAAGCCCATCTCCACACTCTCAGAGCCTTCCAGTTTCTAAGCTGACCTCTGAAATCTACATCACCCTAACTTCTATTGGTCTGGTTTATAATTAATCATGCCTTGCTTTGCATTGGCCTCTAATATTTGTGGGCACCTGAATAAACATTTATTGCTGACTCATTGCCTGGTTTAATAAGTGATCTTTGTCTTTTTCTGAAAAACAAGTCTAGTAGAATAGCCCAGGCCTTAAAGTTAGGCAGATCTGAGTTTGCGTCTCAAACTGCCAACTTTCCAGCTGTGTGATTTTGGTTAAGTTACCTAATACTCTGAACTTAAATTTTTTCGTTTGTCAAATATGGACCCTGGGGTCATTGTTAGGATTATTTGAGACTTCATATGTAACAGAGCATAATGTCGGCAGATAGATAACTTTTCATTCTCCTTTCTTTCTAACTCATCCAGTAGGGAAAAAAGTGAAGAAAGAAGATATTGCTTTACGGGTATCTAAAGTTCTACTTAATATCTCACCAAAAAGAGAAATGGGCTTCTCTGGGCTTATGAACAATCTAATGACTAAAATTCCTGGCAACAGGGCGCCTGGGTGGCTCAGTTGGTTCAGCGACTGCCTTCGGCTCAGGTCATGATCCTGGAGTCCCGGGATCGAGTCCCACATCGGGCTCCCTGCTCAGCAGGGAGTCTGCTTCTCCCTCTGACCCTCTTTCCTCGCGTGCTCTCTTTCATTCTCTCTCTCTCAAATAAATAAATAAAATCTTAAAAAATAAAAAAAATTTAAAATTCCTGGCAACAGATGAGTCTCCTAATGTTTCAATCCCAAGATTTAGAATCATGAGAAAAGCAGTGGTGTCTGCACTGTCAATGGCATTATTCAACACTCTGAATATTTCAGTTAAATCTCAGTGGTGATTTTTTTTGCAGTCGGTCTTCTCTTTTTTTGCTTGGCAAACTATCCTGGCCTGATTTTTAGAAAGGGAGGGGGATAGATAAAGGAAAACTCCAAATATTAATCAGTTCCCATGCTTATAAATAGTAAACAGAATTAAAACTGCCTGATGAAATCAATCCATTAAAAATTCTCTTTCATAAAAGCCAAAAAAAAATTCTAAAAAGGCAGCAACAACAAAAAAGTGTTTGGCATAATGTGCCTCTCAAGAAATAATCTTCTTTTCTCCAAGCAATAAGGGTGACGGCAGAAAAACAATGGATAATTAATCAGAATAAACGTGGTTGAGAAAAGCTATTTTATAAAGTAAAAACCAAGAAGCAAAGAGAAACCCAGGCAAAGATTTAGTAATAAATAATAAAAATGATCAAGGGACTGACATTAAAGAAAATAAGTAGCCATCATCGGTGAGTCCCAACTCAGGAAAAACACTCAGTGATTTCAGCTGTGTAGATAATTCTATGATCTATAGATAGATCTGCTGGATGATGGGCACCTGGGGAGAGCAAGAAAGTATGTGCTATAAACAGGCACCTTGACAAACTAGCATCTCTCTAGCTTTCCTACGCAGAATTTTATTCCAGGCACAGGACCTACAAGTCACTGAGCTAAGCTTGCTAACATCCTTGTACCCATCTGGATCCTTCCAGAATGTCTGAGATTTGGAGTAACTAGGCCAATATGCATCTCCTCCCTGCCGCAGAAATCCCAGGGCTCTTCTCAAGTCCCTATTTCTGCCCCAGTCCTGGGATATAAGAAGTGGCTAAACAAGTAAAAAATGCAAGAATCTAGCCAGCTCATCATACAGCAGGGTAAAGAAATTATGCAAAATCTATCTATGATTGCTTCACAGAGCGTCATGGATTTTGGTTTGCCGCAGGCTCTCTCTACCCAGACTGATTTTAATCCACAGGGTAATTCTCGAGGCAGCCAGCCTAACTTCCCAGAATCTGCATGGCTAAGGAAGGAGTCAGGACTGGCCTGTTCCAGATTATGGCAGAGGGCACTGGCCTGCCCAGTTTGAACCTGTGCCCTCAGGACGGTTTGAGCCTGTGCCCTAAAGCCAAATCACTCAGCAAAATATTTGCTTTTTCATGGTATTGAAGACCAAAGGCAGGAAAGATTAGATGATCATATCAGTAATAATTGAAGCTTACTTTCCTCCCTATTCTGTGGTTTGTTCTTACTTCTTTATCAGGCAATTTAACGGTGAGGCGGAGAGTGGGAGTGTACCAGAAGAGAGCATGGCGAGAGGCAGTTGAGAAGACAGATGCTATAACGATTAAATCCCTTGCCCCTTACCTTTTTCCTCTGAATATATCTTCTCCATTCCTCCAGAAAAATTAAGGTCCTGTTTTTCTGAGCATCTAGGTTTCGCAGGGTTGAATCATTCTTTCCTGCAAGCCCATCAATGCTTAAACATGGGCTTACATGCTCCTCAGCTGAGAACCACCCTAAATCCTACAATGACACTCTCAACATGAGCCTCCTGAAGCCTTGGTGAAAAGAAACCAGATCACCCTTCTACATCCCGTCTTGTTGGGTCTCCTGGCTTTTCCATCCTTATATTGGCCCTGCAGGAGAGATTTCTACTGTGAGCTGCAGTTAAAAGCCAAGGTCCTGATTTTCCACCTCATTCCTGCTATCCCATTTCCCAGGAGTGGGCCCTCCATTAAATTGGAATAGATTACCTTGAATGACACTACTCTGCTTAGAATTTAGGACCAGTTAAGACCAGTGAACCCCATAAACACAGCCTTACATTTTTTTTTTACCGTAAAATAAGTTCTTGGATCAGAAGCAATGTTGTATGGTATATCATAGTGGTGGATGAAGTATAATATTTCTGGAAGATATATGGTAGGCAAGAAAGACTATCCAGAATACATTCTATCCCAATGAGGACAAATTACCCAATTCCTTAGTCATAGGAATAGAATGGGCAAGGGCAATATAACAAATCTGCCACCAGGTGGCAGTCTCTTCTTGCTGAGTGTAGTACAGAATTGAGGCCTCAAGGAAGATGGAATTGAGGGCACAAGGTCAGATTGACCTTCAGCATGGCAATAGCCAGATCAACTTTGTTGAAGAGAACCTCACATTAAGTCCATGAATAATCTCCATCTCTGACACCATTAATTTTTCTATGAGTCTAGGGGCTCCTGGGTGGCTCCGTCGTTAAGTGTCTGCCTTCGGCTCATGTCATGGTCCCAGGGTCCTGGGATCGAGCCCCGCATCAGGCTCCCTGCTCCGCGGGAAGCCTGCTTCTCCCTCTCCCACTCCCCCTGCTTATGTTCCCTCTCTCACTGTGTCTCTCTCTGTCAAATAAATAAATAAAATCTTCTAAAAAAAATAATAAAAAAATTTTTTTTCTATGAGTCTACTGTGCAAGTACTGAAGTGTTTGGGGAAAGAATCTGAGAGTCACAAAATGAATAATCTTGTCCACCCAATTATTCAGCATCTTTGATGGGTATTCACAAAGGACACAAATATTCTCATATTCTCATATCATTCCAAGATATTCATTCACGTACATCTTCCCTAAACCTCCAGCTACCAATCCTCTGATGTTCTGTTCTTCCCTCCAAGTTTCTGAACATGTGACCAAACCCTTAACCACTGTCCTTGAACGTATACGGATCTACATTTCAGTCAATCTCTCTTCCTTGGCAAACTGACCATTAGATGTACTGGTCAAAGTTATGCCCGCTGGGAGGATTTCCATTCCTCACTGTCTTTTCATGACACACCTAATTTGGACTACTATAGCAATTTTGACTGGTAACGTCATATTGTGGAAAACCATTTGTAATCCAGGCTTGAATTTCTTCTTTCTTTGTCAATTGATCATAGAGAATTTTCCCTAAGGATATAGGTGTGGGTGGAGGGAGAGATACCTGCTCATGCAACTTACCTGGATCTTAGTTATTTAAATCTAAAAAGAAGAAGAAGAAGAAGAAGAAGTAGTAGTAGTAGTAGTAGTAGTAGTAGTAGTAGTAGTAGTAGTAGTTATGCGCAGTGTCCGAAGCGGGCTGGGGGGAGAGAGCCTGAGAGCAGGGTTCGGTGGCTTTTCTTCTGTCCCCAGCTGGTGCCAGGAGCCCCCCTCCTCTTCCTCCCCACTCCCTCCCCTCCCCAGCCCTGCCCTCCCCCTTGTCCCGGGATCGCTCCGTTGCACCCACCATGATGGAAGACGACGGGCAGCCCCGGACTCTACACACACAAGCTAAGACATATGGTTCTATCATCAGAAAACAATATGGTGTTTATAGCTTAGATACATAGGTAACCTCTCCCGAGATGTGACAGAAGTCCTTATACTTCAGTTATTCAGTCAGATTGGACCCTGTAAAAGCTGTAAAATGATAACAGAGCATCAATGACCCATATTGCTTTGTGGAATTTTATGAACACAGAGATGCAGCTGCTGCATTAGCTGCTATGAATGGGAGAAAAATTTGGGGAAAGGAGGTCAAAGGAAACTGGGCAACAACACCAAGTAGCCAGAAAAAAGATACTTCCAATCACTTCCATGTGTTTGTTGGGGATTTGAGTCCAGAAATTACAACAGAAGATATCAAATCAGCATTTGCCCCCTTTGGTAAAATATCGGATGCCCAAGTAGTTAAAGACATGGCAACTGGAAAATCCAAAGGCTATGGTTTTGTATCTTTTTATAACAAATTGGATGCAGAAAATGCAATTGTGCATATGGGAGGTCAGTGGTTGGGTGGTCATCAGATCAGAACCAACTGGGCCACAAGTAAACCACCTGCACCTAAAAGTACACAAGAAAATAACACTAAACAGTTGAGATTTGAAGATGTAGTAAACCAGTCAAGTCCAAAAAATTGTACTGTGTACTGTGGAGGAATTGCCTCTGGGTTAACAGATCAGCTTATGAGACAGACTTTCTCACCATTTGGACAAATTATGGAAATAAGAGTTTTTCCAAAGAAAGGCTATTCATTTGTCAGATTTTCAACCCATGAAAGTGCTGCCCATGCCATTGTTTCGGTGAATGGCACTACAATTGAAGGACATGTTGTTAAATGCTATTGGGGTAAAGAATCTCCTGGTATGACTAAAAACTTCCAACAGGTCGACTATAGTCAGTGGGGGCAGTGGAGCCAGGTTTATGGAAACCCACAACAGTTTGGACTGTATATGGCAAATGGGTGGCAATGTACCACCATATGGAGTATACGGGCAACCATGGAACCAACAAGGATTTGGAGTAGATCTGCTGCTTGGATGGGTGGATTTGGTGTTCAGCCTCCCCAAGGACAAACTCCTCCCCCTGTAATACCTCCTCCTAACCAAGCTGGATATGGTATGGCAAGTTACCAAACACAGTGAGCTGGGACTCTAAACAAAATTGTAATTCATGATAGCTTCAGTTTCCTGTGACACTCTGAAGACATGAAAGTAGACATCGGAAAATGAAAATATTTATTTTAAAAATTGAAATGTTTGGAACCTTTAGCACAGCTTTGCTTTGGTGAAGGACACATGTCTTCTAGTTCTGCCTTTTTAAGTTTTTGTTCATGATGGATATGAACATGATTTTTCTTTGTGTACAAAAACTAAAATAAAGTCAATAAAGACAAAAAAAAAACCATTTACATATGCCATTTCCCCTTGATGATGAAATGCTCAGCTTACCAAACTTATGGTTTGGTAGTACAGACAACTCCCAGTTAAGATGAGCAAGTCACTTCATATTGGGTGTCCTGAGGTCTGGTAGAGGTGGCTAGAGACCTTGGTTAGACAAATCTATCCCAGAGTTGGGAGATAAACTCTATGTAGATTCAGAGACCATCTACTTCAGTGTAGTTTTTAGGAGTCCAGTGGTTCAGGTTTGCCAGAATAACCTCTCCAAAGTGAAAGACAAATTGCAGCATCTTTCACTCCTACCATAAAGAAAGAAGCAAAGAGCCCCTGGGTCTCTTCGGGTTCTGGAAACAACATGTTCCACACTTAGGAATATTGCTCCTGCCCATATACTGGGTGACATGGAAAGCTGTCAGCTTTGAGGGGCCTTGGAGCAAGAAAGGGCACTCTAACTGTCTAAAATGTGGTACAATCAGCACTGCCTCTTGGGTCATACAATCCAACAGACCCTACAGTGATGGAGGTCTCAGTGGTGGCAAAAAATGCAGTAAGGGGCCTATGGAGAACTCCAGCGGGAGAATCACAAGGCTGGTGCCTGAAATTATGGAGAAAGTTCATGCTGTTTACAGCACAGAATTATATATCTTTTGAAAAACAGTTCTTGGCAAGTTACAGAGGACAAGTTACTTTGGCAGAGGCAGAATACTTGACTATGGGGCATCAAATGACCCATGCACTTGGAACTTCCCATTATAAACTATGTTCTATCAAAAAGTTGGATGGGCCCAGTATCAATTCTTCATAAGATGGAACTAGTATATCCAGGATCAAGTTCAAGCAGGACCAGGTCAGACCCTCAAGTCACTTTTCATGATTGCACTAATTCCTCTCCTATGGCTTGTACTATGGCCTTGCAAAGGGTCCCATATGACCAATCACAATGGAGAGAAAAGCCCAAGATGGCTTATAGATAGGTCAACTCATTAAGTGCATACAGACTGAAATGTATTAGCCATTTCAAAATGGGTTATAGCTGTATTCAGAGGTGGTCCTAGAAGACAGTGAAGAGGAAACATCTTTCCAAAGGACAAAACTAGGAACAGAGTGTCTGGTCATCTCCTCTGGTGGAAGGAAAAATGGCCTGACTTAAGAATACATAGTAATTCCTGGGTCATTGGTAATGGTTTGGCTATCTAGTTGGAGGCCTGGAATGAAAAGGAAGACCAGAGACAAAGAGGTCTGCATAGAGGAATGTGTATAGAAATGTGGGAGTAGGTACACAGTGTGAAGGATGTTGTATTACATCTTAACACCCACCAGAAAGCATCCACAGATGCTAAACAACAACGTAGACAAAATGGCTCAACCAATTGATATTAAGCAGACCTCATCATTAGCAATCTCAGAATTGACATGATGGACATATAAATTGAATGACCATGTGGTAGAGATGGAGGCTACATATGTGCCCAACAGCATGGACTCATATTTTTAGCAAGGCCAATCTAGTTACCACCGTCTCTGAATATCTAACTTGTCAGCAACAGAGACCAATATTATGCTTACAATGTAGCATTATTTTTTCAAGGAAATCATCCTGGACATTAGAACTGTCCTGTTCTTTTTTTTTTTTTTTTTTTTTTGAGAGAGAGCACAAGCCAGGGGGTAGGGAGGGGCAGAAGGAGAAGGAGAAGCAGACTCCCCACTGAGCAGGGAGCCCAATATGTGGCTCCATCCCAGGACCCCGAGATCATGACCTGAGCCAAAGGTAGATGCTTAACTGATTGAGCCACCCAGGTGCCCTGGAACTGTCCTATTCTGAAAGAGCTAGTGGTTCACTCTTATAAGGATAATACATACTCCAGGTATGAGTTTGCCTTTCCTAAGAGAGCCTCAGCCAGGAGCTTATAAAATGCTTGGATTCCATAGGCATGAAATCCCACACAGCGTAATATCTGACCAGGGGGCCTGCTTTAGGGCAAAGGTGCAGGAACGGACCTATGACTACTGATATTATCACACACCATACCATCAAGATGCAGCCAAGCTCAAAAAATGCCAAAATGGCAACTGAAGTACCAACTTTGCCCACTTCTATTTATTTGTCAGAATAACATACCAAAAATGCTAACAGTGATTCTTTCTATACGGTAATTTTTATTTTCTTATTTTTGCTTACCTGTATTTTTTTTTTTAATTTCTAAATGTGTTACTGTTAAATTAGAGGGGGAAAGGTAAAGAAATCTCTTTCATTGCTTCAGAAAATAGCCCTCTAACTTCTGAACTCTAGAATCTTTGCCTTTTCTCTCTTGAACTTTCTAAAACCTGTGTGGTTCTTTTATCACCATAAAAATTTTCTGGTGCAGGGCGCCTGGGTGGCTCAGTCGTTAAGCGTCTGCCTTCAGCTCAGATCATGATCCTCAGGGTCCTGGGATCAAGCCCCACATCGGGCTCCCTGCTCTGTGGGGAGCCTGCTTCTCCCTCTCCCACTCCCCCTGTTTGTGTTCCCTCTCTCACTGTGTCTCTCTCTGTCAAAGAAATAAAATCTTTAAAAAAATTTTTTTTCTGGTGCTTTCTTTTTTTTTTTAAGATTTTATTTATTTATTCATAAGAGACAGAGAGAGAGACAGTCAGAAGGAGAAGCAGGCTCCCTGCTGAGCAGGGAGCCCAATGCAGGACTCAATCCCAGGACTCTGGGATCATGACCTGAGCCGAAGGCAGATGCTTAACAACTGAGCCACCCAAGCACCCTTTTCTGGTGTTTTCAAAACCACTTCTTTATAACCACTTACCACAGAAATCTGCATCACTGAAACATTTGTCTCCCTGGACACTCTGAATCTGTCATTGTTTTTCTATCAGTGTTCTGATAGAAAGAGAAATGTACCTGGTATCTTCTGACTTCTAGAAGCCTGCTAATATTTACCTCAAGTCCCAGAAAGTCTTATTTCCCGTGAATCTGTTGCACAGATAACAATAATTTGCTATCTGTAATAACAAATAACCCCAAAATTAGCAGTTAAAGCAGTATTTATTATCTCACACAGTTCCCAAAGGTCAGATCCAGGAACAGCTTAGCAGGGTGGATCTGGTTAAGATCTTTTACGATGTTGCCGTCAATATGTCATCTGAGGCTGCCGTCATCTCAAGCCTCAAACAAGCCCATGATCTGCTTCCAAGATGACTCACTCGCATGGCTGTTGGCTCCATTCTTCACTGTGTGTACCGTTCCTCACAAAATGGCAGCTGGTTTCCTCCAGAATGAGTAATCCAGGAGAGAGTAACCTAGACAGAAGCTGCAGTTGCAGTGTCTTTTATAGCCTAGTTTTGGAATTAACACATCAATTGTGTCATGTTCAGTTTGTTAGACACAATTCCCCAAGTCTAGCCATAGTTAAGGGAAGGGAAGACTCTTGTAGAGGAGGGTAGCAAAGAATTTGTGGACATATTTTAAAACCACAGAATCCAACTTTGGAAAGACTTCCAGATGTAGCAGGATCCACCCATTCCACTAGTTTCCTCTGAATCTTAAGGCTGTTTCCAGGGAATTGTGCCAAATTGCTGAGTTCAAACCTAGTGGGGTATTCAGAAGCCTATATACCATATACACTTGTTATCTTCCTGATCTATGGAAGCCATCACTAACTCCTTCTTTTGAGTACACGTGGATAACCCTGGAGTGTTATTAGATCCTTGAAATTTTTTTTTTTAAAGATTTTTATTTATTTATTTGAGAGAGCGAGAATGAGAGAGAGAGCACATGAGAGGGGGGAGGGTCAGAGGGAGAAGCAGACTCCCTGCCGAGCAGGGAACCCGACGTGGGACTCGATCCCGGGACTCCAGGATCATGACCCGAGCCGAAGGCAGTCGCCTAACCAACTGAGCCACCCAGGCGCCCAGATCCTTGAAATTTTTTAAAAAAGCACCCTTAGTTTGCCAACCATGCTGTTATTTTCCTCAAATCCAGAAATGTGTTCAACTTTGAGGTCACAAAATGCAAAGAAAGGCCATAGAATATAAAAAGGATAGGCTTTTCACTCAGGAAGAACCACTAATTGTATTCTAATTTTGTTCAAAGAAATAAATGTAAAACAAATAAAAAATCAATTTACAGAAGTATTCAGCAGTAGTGTATGAAATGGGATATTTGGAATCTGTAGGCCTAAAAAGTATGGAAGGAAAGATTTGGGTTCAATGATCAATAAAAGTTTGATGAAGAGCTGATTACTATTAACTACATCTCACTTCTGTTTCCAGACATCATTGGATACAGGAACTAGATTTATTCTTCTGCCAGAAACAACAACAAAAAAAGCAGATAAAATGCTTTTGAAATTTAAAAAATTACTTTAAGAAACTAGAAAAAGAAGAGCAAATTAAACCCAGGATAAACAGAAAGGAAGTAGTGAAAATAAAATAGAAATAAATAAAATAGAAAACAATAGAGAAAAATCAATGAAACCAAAAGCTGATTCTTTAAGACAATCAATAAAATTGATAAATTAATCTCTAGCCAGATTGGTCAAGGAAAAAAAGAATATGTAAATTTCCAATATCAAATTACCAATATCAAGTGACATCATTAAAGATTCTATAGCTATTAAGAAGGTAATAAGGGAATATTATGAATAATGTTGTACCTATAAATTCAACAGCTTAGATGAAATGGACAAATTCCTTGAAGAACACAGACTACTAAAATTTACTCAAGAAGAAAAAAGTAACCTGAATAGCCCTATATTTTTTAAAGTATTTAATTTGTAGTTAAAAACCTTCCTACAAAGAAAACTCCAGGCCCAGATTGCTTCACTGGCAAATTATAACTAATACAGGAAAGGAGGGAAGAAATAATATCAATTCTGCATAAACTCTCTCAGAAAATTGAAAAGTAGGGAGTTTTCCCCCAACTCATTCTGTGAGGCTTGTATTATCCTGATACCAAAACTAGACAAAGACATAGCAAGAAAAGAAAACTTTAGACCAATGTCCCTTGTGAA